CTGGCCCTGCTGGGAGTGGGGGCGGCCACCCTCAGGGAGCTCACAGTCTGGCGGTCACAAGGAGATGAGGACCGTGTGGCCAGCCCCCTCAGCTGGAGGACTGCAGCAGCCTCCTCACTGCAGCCACTGTGTCCAGAGGCAGGAAAACGCTCCAGGCGGCAAGCCACCAAGGGCCACACTGCCGGCACCGGAGTGAGGTGGAGGGTGCCCAGCAGAGGCCGAGCAGGCGGGCAGGCCATCCCTGCAGGCTCTGCGGGCCCTCAGGTGTCACCCCGACAGCAAGGGGGTGCCGCGATGGCCAGCGGGTCTGAAGGCACTTGCCCCGGTGGGGACGGCAGCGGAAGGGCCCAAAGGTTTGGAAACCAGAAAGTGTCCCTCGGCTGGTGGATGGACAGACAGAACGCGGTCCATCCTGACAGCAGAGAAGTGTTCAGACCTAAGGAGGAACGCGGTACTCATACAGCCTGCAACTTGGAGGGACCTTGCGACCTGGTGCTCATTGAAAGAAGCTGCTCTTGCAAGACCACAGCGCGTGCGACTCCATTCCCACGAAAGTCCCGAAGAGGCCCCTCCTGGAAACAGGAAGTGGATGAGGGTACCTGAGGGCGGGGGGAGGGGCGGGGGGCTGATAGCCAGAGTTTCTTTTTGAGATGAACACCTCCTCAGATGGAGGGTAGTGATGGTCCTAAAGATCTGTGAACACACAAAAGCCACTTAACGGTACACTTTAAATAGGTGGGTCATATGATATGTGAATGGTACCTCGATAATGCTGGGTGTTTGTTTTTGTTAAGTGGATACAGTGAGGAGGATGCTGCAGTCTTTCAGCTGAGAGATGGTGGTGGGAGGGGCCAGGGCGATGGAAGGATGGAGGCGGAGGGTCCAGGAACGGGCTCAGACAAAGTGTGGGCCCAGGACACTTCGGCTGTGTGAGGGGCAGCAAGGGGCCAAGGGCACACAGGTGGCCCTGGGCAAGGCCAGGACTGCCCCAGTGTGTCAATTCCATGTCCCTTCCTGCAGAGGATGAAAGGAGGGGTGCTGGAGATGACACGGCTTTTCTCTGTAACACGTAATGATGCCATTTGAAGAATGAGATCTCAGACTCTCCATCAGAAGGATGACAATGTCATCTCCTGGACAGGAGCAGACTTGGGGAGAGAACCTGGAAAACAGGACTTCCCTGTAGTGCAGGCCCGCAAACCATCGGGAAGGTTCTACCCTGCAGTCTCCCGGGGTGAACAATCCCAAGGAGGAACCCCTCTGGTGTCCAGTGTGGCCAGTGAATCACAGCGAAGACATGATTCAGCGCCCGGGCGATGCCACGTACGTAATACCTTCAAGAAGACATTTTTATTTCTGCGCATGAAGACAGCCTCTCGGAGTCCAGCGTCCGTCAAATCGACAGATGGCGCAGAGCACAAGGCCCCGAGTTCACCTCCAGGCCCGGGCTCTCTCCCCACCAGCATGGACTGCAGCCACACAGCAGGCCCCTCTGTGGGGAAGCGAACTGCGCGAAGTTCAGGCCTGGAGATGCCCACAACACGCGGCACCCCAATGTTGCGCTGAGGCCACCGAACAGGGAGAAGAGAAAACCCTCCCGTATCTGTGATTAGTCTGTTATTCACACAGAAGTGCTTGTTGCTTGACAATCGAGATAAAAATGTTACCACCTCTCTGCATGCGCTGCAAATTCATGGCATAAAACCACTGGAGCAACTAATGGAGTCTTCACACATCACATCTCGTTAAAGAAGAGGGGTCCGGGCTCCACCAGAATCACAAGCCACCGGGTGCCGCCACACCTGGGAACGCAACCTGGCCACTCTCATCAACTCTCCAGGCCTTCTTCTTTTTTAAAGAAAAAATATGAACTCTGTTTTCAAATAGCTGGGTCCTAAGGAAGCTGATTGTCTTCTTACCCCTCAGCCCACCAATGACGGGGAAAACACTGGGGAGTTAGACAGATGTGTTTCTCTCCACTTCTGATCAACAACCAACTATTTACTTCTAGGAGTCCCTGATAAACATCTTTAAACACTTGTCCGTGTTTCTAGAAGTAACGGAAAAAAATCTCAGTGCCAAGGGTATGAATGGAAAATTGATGGCTACACACCAAGAGATATTACTCAGCTGCTATTGTATTTCTAACAGATGTGGATAATGGGGTCATTCGTTCATTTACTATCTAGTTCATCATCCACGTGTGCAATTTTAATTGAAACTTAACCTTTATATCCCACATTCCACGCGGCAGCGGCACAAAAACACATCTATCTCTGTAGGTGCAGATGGTATGAGTTTCTCCCCAAGCAAATCTATAAATGAACACTACCTTTAAATTTATGTTCAGTTAAAAACAAACTCTTAAATGTTGGCCTCTTCACCCCTGTTCCCACATTTCAGCTCCTCCTGGGCAGGTTTGGGGTGACCAAGCAGAGCTGGGGTGCAGCTCAGAATCACCTCCAAGAGCTAGTTCATTGACCTTTCCCCAGCCAAGCTGCCAATCACCACCAAACTCCCAAGGAGAGAGAGACCAGTAAATGTTAAGTCTACCCAACTCATTTCACAGGTGACCTCTGAAAGGTTTCACCCCGGAGCTTGGGAGAGACGAGGCAGCTTTATTAGCATGCTGCACCACGGCCCCAGCCCCCTCCCCTCCCTCTTTTATGAGCCCTTGTTATATAAAATGCCACAAAGGGAAATGGAAAAACAACACACTTCCAGTTACCAACACAAGTTCGGTTGGCCAGGCCAATCCCTGGCTGCTTACAGGGTATTATTTTTAGTCATTTGAAAGAGAAACATTTTTAAAAGGCCAGAGAACAAAAGTTTTCCTCGTCGTCTTTCTTCTTAAACACACACACACACACACACACACTCACACACACAAAGATGGAGGTGCATTCCGTTCACAAGCATCCTTCCCCATTCAAATTTAAAGGCAAAGGCAGCCTGGAGTCGGACAGTTCCTTCCTGCAGCCTCCGAACAGGATTTTCCAATGTTTCTCTCACCCTCATCTAAATTCCGGCATGACAGATAATAAATAGCTACTCATTTACGATCATCATAAAAATTTAAACAGGCTTGAAATAGTTGCTACACATACAGAAGAAATGATCAAACCTGAGCTCTGAAAAGCCACTCCGAATAGTAAAACTATTGCCATGCAGAAGCACACATAAAGAGACATTGTTGCAATAAAAGCTGCGGGATTACAGGATTTTCTCTCTCTTTTAAATCTTCTATCGGAGCGTAAGAGTCAACAACTTGCCGTTTTACCCAGTGGAAAAAAAGGGCTTAGTAACCCTCAGCTATCACACTGTGCCAGATTTGGCGGAGGTTTCTTTTTTTAAAGAAAGTATCTGATTTGATTCTACACAGTGATTAAACATCTTTGTGCTCAGCGGAGAAGGGTCTTCCAACCCCTCCCCCTCCAAAAATGGCATCAAAGCAATCAAAATGGTAATGCCGGGCCTGGGTCCCCTCCCCCCGCGAACTCCCCGACTTCGCCGGGGCCGCGCGCCGGGCCCCCCTCCGGCGGGAATGGAAGCTTCCACTCCAGGACGGGTGCGCGCGGCCGGGGAGGGGGCCGCGGCACCGGCAGAAAGGGGTTAATGGATTCGTCCCAACCCTCCCGTCCAGCCGGGAGCCCCCGACCAGGCGCGGACCCGCGGCGGGGAACAGCCATCTTTCTTTCCGCAACCCCCGCCCCCCTCCTCTCCCGCACGCCCCCTCCCACCACTTTTCAACTTTAAAGACTCGAAATGAACACCCGGCCTCCGAGTTCTTCTCTCTGCAGTCGCCGCCACCCCCGCCAAGCTCCTCCGGGTCTCCCGCTCCCCCCGCCGAAAATTCCTCGGGGGAAAGGGTATCTGATCCGGCCTCCCGGGCCAGGACTGGGGGAGGAAGGAGGGGACCTGATCCGAGGCCGAGCAGGGGGAGGGGGCGGGGGCGGGCGCTGTCCAAGTTTGGCGCTGACGGCGGCGGCCGGCATTCCGAAAGAACAGCGATCGAAGGCCAGGGGGCGCGGCGGGCGGGGGCGGGCCCGCGGGGTGGGCGGAGGGAGGGGAGGGGGCAGCGGGGAGGGGCGCCGGCGCCCCCGCCCCCCGCCAGCCTCGGAGCCCCGGGAGCGCCATTGGCTGCGCCGCTCAAAGTTCTCGGCTCCGGGCGGCGCGGGGGAAGGGGCGGGAGCGCGTGTGCGGGGAGGGGGAAGCGGAGGGGGAGGGGCGCGCGGGGCGGCGAGGGAGGGGGCGGGGGCGCGCGGCCGGCCGCGCTCCGGCGGCGGCATCTGTTCGTGGTGCTGAAACCTCGGGCGCTGAGCTCAGCGCAACTAAGTCACAATGGACAACTTTTCCTCCCCAAAGAGCCGGGAGGGGGTCGGCAGCCGCGGCCCCCACAGCGCGTGCTTCCCCTGGGTCCCAATCTACACCTCACGCCCGCAGACCAAAGTTGGGGCAGGACTGGGGGGGTCCCGGGGGCGCATTTCTTTTGTTCCCCGGGAGCTGGCGTCAGGTTCCAAGAATAAAAAGTGATGCTGGAGAAGTGAGGGGAGGTGGCGCCCAGAAGAACGCTTCGGTAAATATGATTTGCAGTGGAACCCAGAAATCTCTTCTAAGTAGTTTGGTGTCCAGGGCCGAATTACTGCCCCCTCTACCCCCTACCCTCACACCAGCGTGTAGTAGGGGCGCATGGCCGAGAGAAATACCCACATTCCAAAAACATGTCCACCAACTCAAAATGGACGCCGGGCTGCTCGCCGCCTTTTAAGTGCAGCTCCTGTCTTTCGGCCACTACGCTCTCCCCCTCGGCCTCCGAGAACCCGGCTCTTTCTTTCCAGAAAAGGGGGGAGGGCAGGTAACTTTGAGGATGGCACAGGGACTCCTTTGGGAGTCTGAGCGCGCGGCGCCAGGGCCGGCACTTTTTAGGGTGCTGCCAAAGTACCCGGCGACCCCTCCTCCCCACCCTGGCGTGGGGTGGGCGCAGGCTCCAGCTCGCTTACTTGTTTGTCGCTGAGCGCGGTGATCCGCGGCTGCCTCTCGTGGAGCTGCTTCTTGAGATCGCCGTTCTGCGGAAACACGGAGGAGTGGGCTCAGACTAGCAGCCCAGGGGGGTCGGGTGCGCCCGGAGCCCCACGAGCCTCAGCCCCCGCCCCGCAGCGTCCCCCAAGTTCCCCGGCCGCGTCCCGCACGCACGGTGGCCGGGCAGTGCCGTGCGGGGCCGCTTACCTGTGGCTGCCGCCTCATTGGGGCAGCTCTCGGGGCGGGGCGGGGGCCGAAGCCACCCGGCGGCGCGCCCCGAGCCGTGCAAGTTTGCAGGCCGGGGTGCGTGTGCGAGTGAGTGTGAGTGTGAGTGTGTGCCGGGGGAGGGGGGAGGAACAAAGAGCCAAGTAAACACGGCGAGTCCGTGTCGAGCAATGCTCATAAATATTCAAGTCGCGTCCTAATCTTCCCAACACACACACGCGCACGCCGCAATACCGCTCGGGCTCGGGCCGCCACGCCGCTGTTCGCCCAGCAACACATCACCAAAACTACTTTTGCAAACTGTGCTGGGTTGCACTGGGGTGGGGGCCGCAGGGGGTCGGCGCACACACTCGCACAGACCCCGGGACAGCTCACGAAAGGTCCCCACCCGGCACCCTCAGTCCTGCAGTCCCCGTGTCGAGAAAGACAAGACACCGGGCTCGGGTCCCACGAGCCCCCGACCCCCCCAACCCGCCCAACCCCAAACTGCGCAGGATTGCACGAAAGGGGGATGGAGAGGGAACCCAGTGGGGTCCGGCAGGTGCCTACTTCCCCCACCCCGGTCAGGCTCGAGGAGGAGCCCCCTCCGGGCACCTCTAGTCGAGTAGACCCTGCGAGGAGGAACTGGACGCCAGGCTCGGGTCCCTGGAGCTGCCACCCCGGCCCGGGGCCCCCGGCCGCCTACCTGGTGGCACGCGAGTTCCACCGCGAGCGCCTCGGGCCGGCTCTGCAGCTCCATCCCGGCAACTTGGGCAGCACTTTGCTCTCACTTTGGCCCTGGCCCCGGATAAGTTGCACCGCTCCGCTGGGGCGGGAGTGGGCGGGGGTGGTTCAGGCCTCCCGGGAGGGGGGACACGAGCCCCTCCCCCACGACCGAAAGGGAGGGGAATTCTGGAGAGGGGCAAGAAAGGCGTCCGGGCGCCGCGGCGCCGAGCCCGCGGCCACCCCAACTCCTCAGGATGCCCGGCAAGTTGCGCCGGGTCCCCGGGCTGCCCGCGCCGCCCGGCGCATGGCCCCCCGGCGCCGGGAGCCCCGCGCAGCCCGGCGCGCGCCCGCCCCGCCGCCACCGCCTCCCGCGCGAGCCGCCCGCCGGCAGGGACTATATTTCCTCCGGCGCGCGCGCCTGGATCTCGCTAGGTCTCGGCAAAGTTGTGCCTCGGCCCGATGCTAATTCGGCAGTGCCCGGATGGAGCAGGCCGGGGCGGCGGGGGGCGGTGCCGGAGCCGCCGGAGCCCCGCCCGCGCGTGCGCACTGCAGCCCGGCCGCGGCCCGGCGCCCCGAGCGGAGAACAAAAGTGGTGGCACCGAAGGGTGCAAACTTGCCGGCCCGCGGCTCGGGGCGCCTGCTCCGGGACTGCTCCGGCGGGGCGCTCCGAGTGGGCGCCCGCGACGCCGCCGTCCTCTTGCGCACCCCCGGCTAACGGGATGCCCCATCCCCCTCCGCTGGGGAGCCCAGCCTAAGACCGGGGTGAAAGATACTTCTAGGTGGGAGGGAAAATGTCCATTTTCATTTCTTTTCTCCTCTGGCCCTCGCCGACCCCTCTATTCCCTGCTCCCTCTTTCCCTTCCTGGGTCCGCCTCCCTTCCTACTTTATTTAAACGGCTTCCATCGCTGCTCCCTCCTGCACACGAGCGCTCGACTTGGGAGAAGGAATTAGTCCTGCCGCCAGACGCCCCCACCGCCTGATGGCCGTCGTGTTGCTTAAACAGTATGAAAATTGATCTCTTGACTGTTCCTTTAATGATTTTTTTTTTTTTTTTTACACTCACAATTAAACTCTCAACAGATGTCACCGGACTTTTTAAGACTGTTGTTAAAAATCGTAAACACGCCCGGTCAATGTGACATAAAACAATTATAAGTGCAGCGGCGGAGATCACATTTCCGAACTCCCAGGCCGCAGCCGGGAGGTTAATGTCTCCGAGTCGATATCACGGTCGTGGAGTTACCATCCTCGTCAATTAACGTCGGAATGCTTTGTGCCCTGTGCATCGCGTCCCATATGTTCGAAAGACGCTGGGGAGAAATGGTGAGATCCTACTTCAAAGCAAACGTTTACACTGATAAATCGGTGTGACTTCATATTCCTCCGCAGCACAGAACATACCCAGGCGCAGTCCGTCAACAAATGCCCCTTTCAGCCTATGCCAACCTGCCACGAATTATGTCTAGGGTCAGCAGCACTTGGAAATTTCTTCAGCTGGGGACCCCAATGTAGTTTTGGACTCTTATTAGTTCATTTACCACAAGTGACATGTTGGGCTCCCCAAACACTGGGGGCCTGTCATTCCTGCCCCCTTTGGGAAGCTCTCAGCAAGGGTCACTGGTTAGCTCCTGAGCTCTGTCATTCAACCGGAAACTAACACGTGTTCTAAGTGGTGGTGTTCCACTGGGGCTAGCACCAGCCAGGGAGAACCAGAGTTCCCCAAATGCAAAATACACACTTGATCTTAGCCAAAAGGCCGAGAAGCGATCAAATGGAAAATAAAAAGGCTAACTGGGTGCCCCAAGGAGGCTCTGGCTCCTTCCATCCTGGGTTCAGCTCAGGTGGTGTCCAACTCAGGGTGGACTGCCCAGGGGACCAGCGTTCAGGGGGCCAGAGAGCGGGAGCAATGAGAGGGTTCCTACTGTAATCTCTGTAAGTGTCACTGGCTTTTTGGTAAAACTTTATAACAATTTTATTGGCCATGCCTGTATTGAAATCAACAGAGGGGATGTTCAGGTTGTTCATGACCCACACAGACTTGGAGGATAGTGGCGCCTACTGTAGAGACATTCTGTTTGCCAAGTTTCTGTTAATTAGTGCAGATTACAGAAGGGACCGTCCACGTGCCTCTCTGTTGTTTTCATCCTCACCTGATTCCTGAGCACGCCCAAGGGCCGGGGCTGGGTGCTCTCTGACCTGGGGGAATTGGTGATGGGGAGGAAAACCAACCCCACGGTTTTGTAGGCAGACATAGGCGCCCTGTGCTGCTGCTGCAGACAGGTTTCCCTCCGTGCGTCCTGCACCCGGGGCCGCCAGCCCTTTGCCCATGCTGTGCCCTACTTCTGGAATGCCCTTTTCCCTCAGAGCCCACCTTTTAAAAATCCTCTTCATCCTCCAAGACTCAGTTCACATGCCACCTTTTCTGGGAAACGTGCCCTAATTTCTGCACCTGCATTCCAACACGGAGCTCACTGAGCAGGGAGGGCATTCTGACCCATATAGAAGGTGACATGTTCTCTGTGGAGCCTAGGCCAGCTCCGAGTCAGGTCCCCGGGCACGGCACAGTATTCGTGTGCTGAAGGAAGGGTCAGGATGCCTGGGGCCCAGCAGGTGCTTAATGGACGAATAAGTGAGACCAGGGGTGAATGAATGAACGAATGCTAAAAGAGAGATACATTCTGGTTTTGGAAAGGTGGACCATTAATGATGGCCATAGAATTGAGTAATGTCGCCCTGGCCGGTTTGGCTCAGCGGTTAGAGCGTCGGCCTGCAGTACAGAGAATTGAGTAATGTCTACAGTTCATTCCAGAGCCCACGTTTCTCTTCACCTGCATTGCGGCCAAGTGGGCAGGGATCGGAATTATATCTGGGTTTGAGGTGTGGGCCTACCCCTTAATAGCCTCGTGGCCTTGGGCAAGTTACCCAACCTCTCAGCCTCCGTTTCTTCGGGGGTAAAATGGGAATTATCCAACCAACTCCAGTTACCCCTGAATCCACTGAGCTTCTCCTGACCCTGACCTTGGCTACCTTGGCTACCTGCTCCATGGAATTTATTTGTTTTTGTTTGTTAATCTTCAGCTGGAGATATTTTTCCATTGATCTTTAGATAGAGTGGAACATCCTTGTGAGAGAGACACATCGATTGCTTGCCTCCCGCACAACCCTGACCGGGGTTGGGGATCCAACCTGCAACCCTTTGGTCCATGGGCCGATGCTCTAACCGCTGAGCCAAACTGATCAGGGATGCTCCATGGACTTTAAAAACAGCTCAGTGAGCATTTAATATGCACCTATAGTGTACAAGGCCTGCACCAGGTGCTGTGTGACACGTCTCCAATTAGACGGGTGCCCAGCGCCAGGACACCATGGTGCAAGGAGAGGTCTGATGGAGAAAACACAGGCACGAGTTCTAATGCGAGGGGCCTTGCACTAAACGTGGCAGAGAGTGGGAGAAATGGGATAACAGGAGGGAAGGGTGAACCCTGAGAGGCTAAGTCTGAGGGGCTGGTCAAGAAGCCATTTGGGCAGAGCCTTAAAAAAGTAATAATATGCCCTGGCCGGTTTGGCTCAGCGGTTGCAGCATCAGCCTGCGGTCCAGAGAGACCCGGATTCGGTTTCCGCTAAGGGCATGTACCTCAGTTGCAGTTTGTCCCCGGCCCTGGTTGGTCGTGCGGGTGGCAGCCACTTGATGTGTCCCTTCACATCGATGTTCCTCTCTCTCTCTCTTCCTCTCTCTCCCTCCCGCTCTACCTGAACAAAAAATGGAAAAATGTCCTCAGGTGAGGATAAAAAAAAAAAAAAGTAATAATATTTTCTTATTTTTTTAATCCTCACCCAAGGATATTTTTCCATTGATATTTTTTAGATAGAGTGGGAGGGAAGAAAGGAGGGAGGGAGAGAAAAAATGCGAGAGAGAGAGAGAGAGAGAAACTCAGTGTGAGACAGACACATCGATTGGTTGTCTCCCGCACAACCCCAGCTGGGGCCAGGGATCAGTCTCACAACCAAGATACATGCCCTTGACAAGGAATCAAACTGTAGACAACACTCTAACCACTGAGCAAAACCAACTTCTGGGCTGTGGTCCTCACCAGAGTTCCAGCAGGTGTGTCAGGTGCCCTCATTTTACTGGTGGGTGGACCGATGCTGCGGGCACTAACTTGACCGGGGTGGACACACGGACTGAGGTTGGGGAGAGCTGGTCAGATGGTTAGAATCTTCTACGTGGGGCCTTCATGACCTTTGGCAGGTTGACTGAAGGATGGATTGGTTTCCAAAGACAGGGAGGATATTCTGGCTGAGGAAGTGGCATAAACCAAGGTCCTGAGGCAGGCTGCAGTGGGGCCCAGGTAAAGAAAGGTAGGACAGGAACGCTGGAGGGACCAGACTCCATGGTCTGCAATGCCAGGCTGGGGTTCGGAATGTGCCGCCCAGGCAAGGGGGACCTGCCCAGGGCTTCTGCA